AATATTTTCATCATTGTCGGCAAGGCTATTAAACCCACACAAGCACACAGAATTCTAAGCATGCTAAAACCAATTTTTTTTTTTTATAAATCAACAGGCACACAAAAGCAAGAAATTGTAGCATCGATGAAAGCTGAAAATTGTTGTAGGCATTTCCCTTAGAGTGTTGTACAAATTCTACCACCCCCAAACTTATACAAACATTCCCCTTAATGTGCATATGATAAGATTAGGAACATAAGTTGAAGGACAACGAAGATAATGCAAAAGAAGGGTTTAGGCTACTCCCTGATCAAAAAGGAGGTGGAGGTGGGGATGGAGAACTGGGCCCCGCAGTGCTATCATCTGGTGGCGGATCTATTCGTGCAAGGAGCTGCCGCATCATTCCAGATTGCTCCTGAAGTAAAGCGGCCTGCCCTCGAATCAAACCCAAATTCTCCTGAAGGAAATCCGACTGCCTTCTCACTTCAGTCTCAAGTCTGCCCAGGCGATCCCATGTCTCATCTGCTCGAAGCTGTAGACCATCTACCCGTCCTGCATATAAGCTCAAACGCCCATTCATCATCTCGAAAGCCCACCGGAAGCGAGGGACTCTCTATTGGAATCAGAACAAAAAGTACGGGTAGTGTGCATGTCGGTCTGCACTTGCTCCATGCCTGTGTTCAACGCTTCAAATGTTCGCTGCAAGCTCTGAATGTCTCTACTGCAGCCTGTCAGTGTAGCAAACATCTGCCGCAGTATCTGTGTGTCGACTCCAACAGGTGGTGGCGGTGCGTCCGCTGGAGGTATATCCATATCTGCAGCCGCCTCACCCTGTTCAGCTGGTTACTGACCAATATTAGCCCTCTCTTGGGCCTCTCAGTGCTTTATCCGTGCTCTATCCTGAGCGTCCAAAGTGCTGCATTTGATGAATGGGCTCGGTTTGACCGACATTTCCCCTGGCAGGATAGCAATGCCCGAGCGCTTGCAAATGCCACTAATGAGGCTCGAGAATATCAGTGAATTTCGACGATCTCCCAAAACTCCCAAGGCATGGATTTGTTCATAGATTAGAGTGGCGAGATCGACCTTTTGGCCCCTAGCCAAGTGATAAAGAAGACCAGTTCTCGGATCGGGGAATGTGGAACGGTGTGAGGTTGGCTCAATGTTATGGCAAATGAAAAGCCATAGAATGGCTATGGACGGTGTGAGTTCAATCTGATACCATTCCTCTGTTTGTAGGGGCCAAGCAGCTTCACGTCCCAGCAAAACCTCCGCGACTTCAGGCCATGGGAAATCAATAGGAATTGGGATGATATTATCCCAAGTAAGCTGATAAGAGTCGTGAATGATTTCTGGTGTAACCATCACCCACTTGCCTCGTACCCATGTTTGGTGGTGATGGTCGGAT